GTGGCAGGGATAATAGCATGCTGCACGCTGCCGGGTAGGATCTAGAGAAGGGAAAATTAATGGTGCGGGAGCCAAAGGGGACCGTGGCTGGAAGAATCTGATTAGGCGCAGAGGGGTGGACTGTGCCAGGGTGGGCGGCCGGCTTTGCACAGGAGCGTGGACAGCCAGGCTGCAGGAAGCAGAGGGCCATTTCTCTCTTTTCCAGGGAAATAGGAAGTGGGCCACCAGCTGAGCCGGAGGATGGGGGGCTTGAGACAGGTGGGAGGGAGGGACAGCGAATGCACAGGGAAGTGTTTGTGGTTCTCCAGGGCTCCTAAGGTCCGGAACAGAGGGTAGATTTAAAGTGAGCCAGGCAGAGACATGGCATGTGCCCTTCAGCTCTGTGCAGACCCCCGGAGCTGGGGGCAGAAAGGGGAGGGCTGCAGCAAGGTAGGGAGGTGAGGGTGTGTGCAAGTGAGGGGCTGGTAAGAGGGACCTCTGCATCTTTGCTGGAGGTGAGCGAGGCCAGGAGGGGAGTGAGGGATGTGAGAAGATGGACGAGGCCCGCAGGTTGCAGAACCCTGGGCGTCTGGGAGCTGCAGGGAGTGAGCTCACAGGACAGGAGGGGGCGGCTGGACCTGGGTGGTTGGAGGGTACTCTTGGAGATAGTGCAGTTTCTAGGAGCAATGAGGTCTGCGATAGACCATGGGAGTGAGAAGGCCATGACCTTCAGGAGAAGAGGTGAAATAATTGAGAGGGCAGGGGCAGGAAGGAAATGATGGCAGGAAGGACAGTGACAGTGATGGTGCGAAACCCGCTGGGGATGAGGGGGCCGAGACCATCACAAGCTGGGTAGTCGGCTGTGGGCTGAGGGCTGGTGGTGAGGAGTGACATATAAACCCACAGGGGCACATGGTAAGTGCTTAGTGAATGGGAGCTGCTTTCATGAATCTAGTTACCATGAGGTTCACATGGTTCCTGGCCTGGTCACAGGACAGACCCTAAAACTAGGGATGTGCCAGAATGTGCGGTGCAGGATTTACATGCCCGTTTCTAGCAGGTGTGGTGCCGGCAGGGCCTGCTTAGTCTCTTTCTGCAGGATGCAGACACCCTGCTCTCGGGCGTGATCCCACCAGGCCTCTCAAGAGCAGGAAGTGGGGGGACAGACACATGGGCAAACGGGAGTTTGGGCTGGGGTCAGGAGCAGCCCCCCATGTCACAGTGATGTCCGGTGCGTTGCCTGCGCCAGCAGGCCCAGGCCGCTCACTCCTGACTGGGTGGTAGGAGCATGAAGGTGGTGAGTGGGGTGTGACTGGGTGGGTTGGGGTGGACACCCCAGAGGTGAAGGCTCCCAGGGCAGCCCCTAAATTCCAGGCCTTCCTGCTCAGTGGCTCTGAGCAACTGGGGATACTGGAGGGGAACAGGGCCCTCCACTCGGGTGCCACAGCCCTCTTCTCAGTGGATGCTTGCTGCCTTTGCTGCCCGCCGTGTGCTAGCCATCCTGTTAGAGGCACCGAGCTCGAACCCTGGCTCTCTCCCTTCTTGCCCCTGTGAGCTGCAGCCGCACCCGCCTCCCGCCGAGCCTGTTCCTTACCGTTGGAAGGCATCGCCTTCCGGACAGAGCAATCAGGGACGTGGATGACAGCAAAGTGCCTGGAAAGTTTGTGTTAGGACGCCATGGGCCCCACTTCAACCCGGGGTTCAAGTCCCTTCTTAGGAAAGCTTTTGCTAGGAGCTATGGTTATGTTGAGTGTTGATCCTTCTGAGAGCGTCGGATGTGTTTTAGTAGCAGTTCAGGCATCATTCACCCATACATGCATCCATTCTCCTGGTCAGTGGGTCTTTGCTGCCTCCTCCACGCTGGGCAGGGCTGTTAGAATTACCAGAGATGCTGGTTGGACGAGCTTCAATGGCTTCCCCTGGGCTCCCTGACACCTGGCCAGGCAGGACTGAGCAGGGTGATGGTCCTGCTGAGCGAGGCCAGTGCGGTTTGCGGTTTGCAGCCGAGTAGGCAGGGCGCTGCACACAGTAGGTGCCCAGTGACAGGACGCGGGGGGGATTGCCTGGGAAATCCCCAGGAAGCCTCTTACTTGGCCAGTGCCCAGCGTTCAACTCCACCCCAGCTTCCTTCAGCTTTGTTGGGTCGGTTAGACTATTGCTTCTCTGTGGAGCAGCCAAGTTCACAATTGGACCAGGGAGTTTGACCTTGGCTGCGTCATGCCCATCCCACAGGTGTGTAGCCTTTCCCAGCTGTGGCTGGCTGGCTGGTCCTAGAGCTGGAGACTCAGAGGCAGTGTCTCCATCGCCCACACAGCCCCACGGACGGCACCTTATTCCGGGTCCCGTGGCTGAGCGGGGGCGTGTGCCCCTCCGGGTGGGCTGTGCGGGGAGCCCTGCGGGCTGAGGGAGTGCACGCAGCCCCCTCGCCCAGGGTCCCGTTGGCTGTGCTCCAGAGGAGCAAGGTAATAAGGACCAACTTCCACTTACCGCCGGTATAAATCCCACAATCAGGAAAATTGCTTCAATTGCTAAAAAACGCTGGTGGAAAAGTCCATTTATTTTTCATTTTTCTTGTGCACTTGCCACCCTCACGCATGAATCACTGTCGGTATGCAGATTAAATTTATACCCCGTTATCTTTCACGTCTCTGGGGCGCTGGTGTCAACTGGGTTTCTGGTTACTGAAAGCGAGAGTGGCCCGCTCTGTGGGTGGCCACTGGCGGGGGGTGTCTCCTCTCTCCTGGAGTCTCCCCACAGCCCCCCTTCAGTCCCTGCCCCTCCATTTTTTTTGGCCGAAAGGTAAGACTTGCTTTTATAAACGCCAGTTCTTCTCGGGAGCTGCTCTGCCGCGGCGTTTGCTCCTGGATGTGGGCGGTTTACTTGGGGGTTTTGCAGGGAGCGTGGTGCAAAGGGTCCTTTTATTTTGAACACCTGCTGTGAGAATTGGCCTGGACTGGATACGCATACAATAGGCATTTTGAAAACATGCTCCGAGAGCACATACTATATGGACTTCCTTCCTCTCTATTCCCTCAATCTCTCTCCCCCCCCCCTCTCTCACACACACACACACAGACACACAGACACACACACACACACTCTCTCTCTCTCTCTCTCTCTCTCACACACACACACACACACACACACACACACACACACACAGGACAGAGCCGGCGCCTGCCTGTTTCCCCTGCGAATGCAGGCAGTGTGGCTCCGCAGCAGGTGTTGAAGCCTGGTCTCAGCTGAGTCCTGGAAGGTACAGACCTGATAGGATACCGTGTTCTCATGCTCACATTTAGCCATGTGTGTGCATATCCTCTGAAAACAAGCTCGTCTATCCTCAGATTTATGATTCAACAAGTGCTAACTTTTTTGGGGATTGGCCCCCTTTGAGAATCTGTTGGAAGCCCAAGTCCCCCTCAGGATGTAGTTTTGAAAAACTTGGGGGTAGTTTGAAGAGCCCCGACCTGCCCACTATGGAGACCTCCATGCACCCCTTCCTGCCCCCCGACAAAACCCTGAGCCATTCCAGGAGCTCCGAGCTCTGCAGTCCTTCCAAGCCAATGCCTCAGCCCCTCACACCCCAGCACCTTCTCGGGTCTCGTCTCAGAAGAGCTGTCCCTGGGCCACACGGCTGGCTCTTTCAGACTTAGAAACCCTTTTCTCTCTGTGACATGTCCTGGGAGGGGACTTCGGAAGCCACAGCTGGCTCGCCTGCTCCGGGCCCTGCAGCCCCCAGCAGGTATCATTACTGCATAAGAGACCCATCATTCTGCATTAATCTGGGATTCATCATGATAGCCATGACCATAATTAATTTATTTGGTATTAATGTGGATGAAATATGTACTGTCCTTTCAGGGGAAATCAGGCTGCCTATAAGCATTAGTTAAAAGGACCATTAAAATCAAACCTTCCCCAGATCCATTAGGCGAAGTCTTTCATCCTGAAGAAGATAAAGTTGTGCTGTGTGAAATGTCATGAATAATTAGGTTGATTGCTGTTTTAAACTCTGCCCCTGCCTCCCCACCCCTCCCGCCTCCCTCCTGAAAGCAGGGAAGGCTCACCTGCAGCAGAGCGGCCCCCTCCATCGCCCATGTCTACACTGGCCCCCAATTCCCTGCTGACCTCTGTGGCTGCTCGTGTGGCCTGTGTCTGTGGCTAGAACCGGGAAAGGAGCTTAAAGGGTCCTGCTGGGCTGTTTGCGAAATATTCTCGTCTCCTCACTTCCCAACTCGGCCCAAGGTGGCTGCAGGTGCCTTCCTCTCGCCTCAGTGCCGGTCTAGGGAGGGGTAGACCAGGGAGGGGTCGGAAGAGGCGTTTTCCAACCAGGTCTGCAGACTTCCTGTCCTGAATGGCACCGGGATATGAAAATGCAGCTCCTGGGCCCACCCTGGACCACCACATCTAAGGGGCTGTGCATGGGAAGGGGATGGAAGCTGGCACGGGGCGAGGAGGGTTGGTTGTGCTGGATGGAGGGGCGAGGCAGGAGAGGGCCAGGCCCTACTCTGCTGCCCAATGGTGGACACGGCACGCACGTGCCCTCTCCCTGCTACACAGGCTCCTCCTGCGAGAGCGCGGGAAGAGGAACTCTGTAATCTGCCCCGTGCTCACCAGTATGGGCACAGCAGTCGCCCCTGGGCAGGCCTTCTAGGCCTCACCACAGAGTTGGAGAAACCAGGAGGCGGAGGGTGGAGCGGCCTACCCACAGGGGACACACACTCCTCCGATGGGCGAATTGATGGGTGTTACTTGGACAGTGTGGAGCCCTGTGGTGTCATGTCAGCCTTTGAAAGGCACTGGAGACTAGCTCTGATCCAGCCCCTTTATTTTGTGGTTAAAGAGCTCAGTCACAAAGCAAAAGATCAGTTAGAAGCTGGGGGACCAGATGGTAAGCACTGAGTAGTCCAGGGGTTGGTGCCCATGGGCACCCGGAGTGGTGGGTGGGAGAGGGGGCCGATGGGCAACGGGAGGAAACCATGAGCCCCCTGTGCCCTAATCCTTCTGCGCCGTCCTGACAGGCGCTTCGGCACGAAATGCACGGCCTGCCAGCAGGGCATCCCCCCGACCCAGGTGGTCCGCAAGGCTCAGGACTTCGTCTACCACCTGCACTGCTTCGCCTGCGTCATCTGTAACCGGCAGCTGGCCACGGGGGACGAGTTCTACCTCATGGAGGACGGGCGGCTGGTGTGCAAGGAAGACTACGAGACGGCCAAGCAGAACGGTAGGTGGCACTGCCCCGCACAGCCCCCCACAGGCATTTGTTCAGGCCCTGCTCACATCTGTCTCCTGAGGTCCGCCCCACAACCCAACACCCCGGTCCCTCAGCACCTGCTGGTTCCGAAGCTTGAGCCAGTGTGGCCAGTGAGCGCTCCTGTCGTCCACACTGGGCTCAGGAGCAGCCAGGGGCCGTATCATTATCTGGGTGGCTCCTGCCTGGGTGGCTCCTGCCTGCGGCTGAGAGGGTGTCTGCCTACAGGGGACACTTGGGCTTACTTCTTGCTCTTGTATATTGGGGGGCACACTTACCCCAGCACCTATTGGCCTATCACTTTGGACTCCAGGCAGCTGAGCTCCATTCCCCTCATGAATTAAGGACTGAGGGGTGAGGACCCTCATGTCTCCTGAAGCCCCGATGCAGGAGCCAAGTGCTTACTGAGCCAGTGTCCATACTCAGCCGCGGGACTCCACCCCCGCCACCTTCCCAACCTCCTCAGTCATGGGGCAGGGTCTGCAGCAGCAGCCCAGGCTGGCCCCGATGTCAGGCCCAGCATTTCACACCTGGAAAACCTGCCTTCACTTGGGCAGATGGGCAGCAGCTGCTCCTGCCCTCCAATGCCGTGTTCGTGGGCAGCCCGAGTCCTTCCAGGGCTTAGACTGGGCGTGGACCCCATTCCTCCGAGTGCCCTCAGGAAGGCCGAGTCCATGCTCCCCTCCTGCAGCCCTCCTGGGGCTCCTCACACACTGGCTCCAAATATGGCATTTGGCCAAACCCAACCTGCGCATCTCAGATGCACAAACTCACAAAACCTTAAAGTTGTTTGCCTTTGACTAGGATTTTTATCAGCTCAGGGTATCGCTGTGGCAAGCAGCTCCTGCTGACAGCTCTGGGCTTGATGGAGAAAAAAATAGCAAGCGTCACGTATCTCCTTCCAGAGCTTCTCTGGGCCCCCCCACGGGTCATAGAGACCTGATCACTACATGGGGTAGTGTTTTTGCTCAGTACATGGAGCTTAAAATAAGGGTTTGTGGTGGTGAGGAGGCAGAGGGAATCTCGGGGCTAGCCAGCTAGAGTTGAGCCTTGGCTTTAGTGGAAGGTGGGAAGGGGTGCACAGGCCTTCTATCTCCTCTTTCTGGGGCCTCCGTAAGCCCATTCTAGGCTCTTTGCTTTAATGTATTTATCTGCTCTGGTTCCTTAAAACTCACTCAATGCTGTTGCTTTGAAGTCAATTATGATGTCACAGAAGATTAGGCGTCTTGTCAGGGATAAACCATCAAAGCAGATGGACGGCGAGGTCCCAAGCTGCTTTGGCGCTCTGATGCCCTTCAGCAGATACCGGGACAGAGGCCTTGCGTGGGCGCTGAGCACACCTGGCCCAGCGTCCTCCACCGCGGCGGTGCAGGGAAGGGAGAGAGCGGGGCTTACGCCGGGCGGGGACTGCTTGTGCTCAAGCAGACCTCCAGGACCATGGAGAGACTCGTGATTCAGCCTCAGAACCTTGTAGGCCTCGCTGCTGGGTCACTCACAGGTCAGGGTCCCTTCTCATCTCTCCATGGGGGACAATTGCACCTGCCGAGTAGGGCTGTTTCCTGAGGCTGAAACAGGAGAAAGCATGTGGAATGGGATGGTAAGTGAGGGTAAGACCTGCAGGGAGGGGAATGCAAACGGGGAGGTGCGATCTGCGTTAGGTTTTCCAGGAGCTGAAGGCTACATGGTTCGGATGGGTTCCGTGGCAGTGAAGCTGGGTTCGGCCTGTGAATTTGGGATGATGCTGAGGGCAGCAGGGGACCTTTGTCTGCTCTGGGACATTTGGCTCTATTGTTATGTTTTAACTCCTCCTTGCTAAGCTACACCCTCTTTCAGGCTTACAGTTCCCTCCCTCATGCTACACAAAGGATCTGATATCAGCTGTTTGTACCTTAGCGTGAATGATTTTGTTCATTTGTTACATCTCCCTAGATATTTGCATTTTCAATATAATGAGGTGGTGTTTTGTGCCAGGGACAAGTGCTAAAAGAACCTGAATAATTCAAAGCTAACCTATTTTAGGGCTAATTTTCCCATAGGAATTAATGTAAGAAGTGAGGGGAGGGAGGTATTCTGGGAGCACATAAATCCATAATCGGTGAGATGTATCTTTGCCTTAATGCTACTTTTTATTTTCTCAGCACTATCTCTAATACCTCGCAGAATGCTCTCTCCTAAATTAACAGCCCAGGGTATCATGGTCTTGCTTGGCCTTCTTCATAGCGTTTTATCACATTTAACTTCCGTACCAAAGTTATTGATTTTTGGGTACATTTTTCAGCATGAGCACGGCCACCACTACTTAATGAATACTTGGATGACATTATTATAGGATATAAAGAAGATTTTAAATTATAATAACAGTGAATGTTAAAATAACAGCATAATAGTCCCCATAATCGCGAGAAGGTGGTCCTGTGCAGGTGGACAGCAGTGCGGAAGCCATGCCCATCAGCCAGGATGACGGGGGTGTATCCTGGAGGCGCTGCCATCTGGTTGTGGTGAGAGCGATTTTTAATTCACTAGGGCAGCCTACTTTGACACTAAGCAATTCTCAATTAAAATATTTTGGTCTCTTTCAAATTTTATATATAAAGACTACCGGTATTTTAAAAGTGCACTATTTGGTATTTGCTATCATGTTGGCATCTCTAAAAATATGGGCAGAAGGAATGATTCTCTAAAACAGAATTAGAGTTTTGGAGGTTTTTCCTGTGCCACAGTGGCTCTGGAATCCTTCCACTTTGGGTTCAGGACTCCAGGGAGGGGATTGGGTGGTGGGGTCTGGCTCATATTTATGAACATTTTGTAGATGAATGGGGGGCCACCCCTGCGAGGGACCCTGAGGAGATGGAGATTCCTGCTGGAGGGACAGCCCTGAACCCAGACTTTAGCTCCTTCACAGCATTGGTCATACAAGGATGGCCACCAGTGCTGGGCCTGACAGGAGATGAGTGGAATGAAACACCTTCAGTCTGATGGGAGGGGACAAGGAGGCTGGATGGGGGGTGATGGTGTCCTTACTTTTAAATCACTTCAGAAAGCCCGTGGTGCAGAAGTGGCCCACTCTGCCTCCCCACTGTTCTGCCCATAGCAGGCAAGATCACACACAAGGAAAGAAGGTGGGACGACACCTAGGAGCTTCAGGTGGGCTGAACTCAAACAGTAAGGTTTTTATTGCAGATGACTCAGAGGCAGGAGCTAAGCGGCCCCGGACCACCATCACAGCCAAGCAGCTGGAGACCTTGAAGAATGCCTACAAGAACTCCCCCAAGCCTGCCCGGCACGTGAGGGAGCAGCTGTCCTCAGAGACCGGCCTGGACATGAGGGTTGTACAGGTGAGACACCAGCTACCTGGCCAAGTACTCATTTGCTGCCTTGGGCTCTGGGGCCCAGTGCCAGTCTGTGTCCTCGGCATGGGAGTGGTATACATACCATGTCACTGATCCTCTTGGGGGCTTGGAGCCATGATCCTGGGGAATTTGCCAAGTTGGAGATTTCTGAGGCTGAGGAAGTCCTGGACACATTGTATTCCTGGCCTGGAACTCCAGTCACCTGGGGGCTGTGGGGTTGGCATCCTCTGAATGTGTGCCTTGTGCGGCAGGTTTGGTTTCAGAACAGAAGGGCCAAGGAGAAGCGCCTGAAGAAGGACGCGGGACGGCACCGCTGGGGACAGTTCTATAAGAGTGTCAAGAGGAGCCGGGGCGGCAGCAAGCAGGAGAAGGAGAGCTCTGCAGAGGACTGTGGGGTTAGTGACAGTGAGCTGAGCTTCCGAGGTGAGCAGGGCTGGAGGGGCAAGGCCCAGGCCTTGGGAAAGGCCCCTGGGAAGCAGTGATCCTTGACATTCAGGAGCGATCTTCTTGAGGCCTTGACAACTCCCTCCTGACCACAGGCTCCCCGCTGCCCCGGCAGTAAGGGTGGGGGACATGGAGTGGCCCTGTAAGGAAACGAGAGAGCGCTGCTGCTGAGATGTGCAAGCTGGTTCCCTGGCACCGTGAGCCCCAAGGCCTCCCCTCCTTGCCTGCTGACTGGGGCTCCCTCATCACCCATGCTGCTGTGAACAGAGCTGAGTCTCAGTCTGTGCCCTCAGCAGGGGCCCTGGCTCCCTCTCAGGATCCCCTAGTGATACCTTTCTCCACTCCTGATGGGGAGGACATGCTCCTCGGGCCCTCTGCCCTGGGAAGTCACTACTGTGAGTGCAAGTGAGATGGGGAACAGCCTCACTTCTGAATCCCTCCCCCCTCTGTGCACTTCTTCCTGCCCCGCACAAATGCTTTGGAGCATGCGCTAAGGTCAAATTGGTGCATCAGCAAAATTGCAAATGACTGTGTTGAGTCCTTAGGTTGTTTGCAAATAGCCGTACCTATTCTCCTAGCTCCATGGTTGGCAAACCTCAACTCTTTGGCCCCTTCAGTGTGTCTCTTCCACAAAATGGAATGGCCTGGGCCAGTCTATTTTGAAGAAGTGGCGTTAGAAGTTTAAAAAATTGGCTCTCAAAAGAAATTTCAAACATTGTACTGTTGATATTTGGCTCTGACTAGAGTTTGCCGACCATTGGCCTAGTCTGAGTCCTCAAATGTGAAAGGCCTTATGTTGTAGGGAGGGAAAAGTACTGAGCTGGGGTCAGAAACTGGGTTTCCAGTTGTGGCTCTGTCACATGGATTCAATTCTTGAGCCTCAGTTTTCCCACTTAAAAGAAGGGAATAACCATATCCTTGCCCATCTCACAGGGATGTTGTGGGGAATCAACACAAATGACTCTAGATGTGTTTGGGGAAAACCCAGCAGGTATTTATACTTGAAAGGGACGATTGTCCCCACAGGGAGCCTTGGCTCCCTCAGAGGGTCCTGATTCTATGGGATGACAGGTATGTGCAAAAGGCCAAACAATGGCCATTTTACGGTGAAGCTAAGCCTTCACCTTCCTGTCCCTTTAAAGAGCTTGGGGCAGGTTGTCAGAAGGTGGGTGTTGAAGTCTTGTCTGGGGAGGCCTGGATAGGAACTGATGCACAGGCCCAGGTGGGGAAGAGAAAAGTCTATGGGGCAGAGGATGGAACAAGCTGCCCGCCAGGAGCACGCTCACCTGAGGGGCTGGTAGCTCAGCCTAGAGGTCTGTCCTGGGACCCCGAAGATTGTTCAAGGGCCTCATGCTCACACCCTAGCCCTCTTGGCAGGGCTGGGAAAGCCACTTCATCTCATTTGAGCTGCTGGAATCCATGTTGGGAACATACAGGATTGCCAGGTCTCATTCTGTAGCTCCTTTCTTTTGGATACAGGTGGTCCCCAGGGTGACATATCATTGCTCTCTCTGGGTAATTATGTATTAAGGCTAAAATGGCCCCCTCTGTTGGAGAGATGACTTCTTCCAGGTAGCAAAGATCCTGTTAGATCCCCTTAGTGAAATTCTCTAAGAAACAAGGTCCATTTGTCTTAACACTGTCCTCAGTGAAGACTGCATTAGACAAACCAAGTCCTTTGCTATTGAATCTCTCCCAAGTAGATAAGAGCAGTCCTCAGTACCCTTACCATATGGGCCTGCTTGTTTGCCAACCCAAGCACATTACTTAGCCTAAAAGCTTTCAGATTAAATCTTGTCAGCACGGAACTTCCACCGTGATGTGAGGCATTTGTAGTCCTCAGTGTAGCCAGAGTATCTTAGTTCATGAGTGACAGGGGTCAAACACTCACCAAACACTGTCCAGACTTCTGGGTCCTAGGAGTTGAGTCTGCAGGTGTTTCTTCTATTCTCCCCCTTGATGTGGGTCAGTCTGGGGCTGACATGATGATTGACCCTGCTTGGCAGCTGTCATCCTTGGGCTTCTTTCCTGGTCATGTGTATTCCTACCTAGGTTGTAAAGAACAGGAACACCGGAATCCTGTTGGCTGACAATAAATCTCCATTCTTTTGTCCACAGAGGATCAAATTCTCTCAGAACTTGGCCACACCAATAGGATTTATGGCAACGTGGGGGACGTTACAGGCGGACAGTTAATGAATGGGAGCTTCTCCATGGACGGGACAGGACAATCCTATCAGGACTTGAGGGATGGGAGTCCCTATGGAATCCCTCAGTCTCCATCCTCCATATCGTCCCTGCCGTCCCACGCTCCTCTGCTCAATGGGCTGGATTACACGGTGGACAGTAACTTGGGCATCATTACGCATGCAGGGCAGGGAGTGAGCCAGACGTTGAGAGCCATGGCTGGGGGACCCACCTCTGACATCTCCACAGGAAGCAGTGTAGGCTATCCCGACTTTCCAACTAGCCCAGCCTCTTGGCTCGATGAAATGGATCATCCTCCTTTTTAAACATCTGTCCTCCCCACCCTACCTGTCCTTCTGGCTTGAGAGAATATCTTCAAGAATCAAAAGAGACTTACAGTTTTAGGATCAAATGCGCACCAATGTGAATTTCCATTATTTTCAATGGAAGTCCTCTACTGATGGCTAGGAAGCCCCCGCACTAGGGTGCTGCTCTCCTGGAGAAATGGTGGGGAGCAGCCTCCTCTCAGAACAGTGCAGAGCCTAGAGCGCTAGGGTGCTGGCTTATGCTCCCTCCCCCACCCTGCTTACAGGCTGTGGCTGCTCAGTGCTTGGCAGCAGGAGGTGACTGTGAGGCCACCCTGGCCTTAGGGAACTCTGCTCCAACTGATATGTCTCATGAGATGCTTCCCACACCAGTGCTCTTGCCAGAACTGAGATTTCTGTGACGTCACAGCTCTTAAATATAAGTGATTTTTGAATCACCCTTATCAAACCCTAATTTTCAAAATAAAACAAAGGTCACTTACAAAAGGCCAGTAGAAACTTTGATGTAGAAACATGCCCCTCCTTTTTCCTCTGCTGTGAAGGACTTCTTCCCTCTCCAGAGAATATCTGTCAGTTTGGGAGCGGTCCCATCATCACTGAATCCATCCCTGATGGCAGGAAGTGGTTTTTGTTGCAGTGACTCTTAAGGCTGGAGCTGAGTTGCCCTGGACCATCACAGTGACTGCCCGATGAGTCCCCTCGGAGCACAATGTGCCTTTTTAATTTGCTCATATCACTTATTCCACTAGACAGGCTGTGGATTATACAACGATCAAAGCTAAAATATGGAGAGACCAGAAAGACAATCAGTGAAAACGTTTGCAAACCCATTTGGATTCCAAGTGTGTAGTCCATTTAGCCAAATCAGCAGATGCCAGAGTCCCCACTCCTGCAGGGAAAATGATATTGTGAGTTTGTTTCGAGGTAGTTGGTTTAGATGAGTTTGCAAGTGCACACCCACCTGCAGCCAACCCTCCCCAGCCCTTTAAAAGTGAGAGCTTTCTCTGCTGTGCTAGCTGGCTCAGTTGGAGGAGAGCCTTGGCCTCTTCCAAGTACGAGCACTTCTTTTTGGCTGGTAGGAGTCATTTAGGGAGCAGCCTTAAAGCTGTCAGAGTTCCAAGTGGTCCTTGGGCTGCATCCCTCTGGGCTGCTGGCTGGCCTCACACCAGGCCCTGTGGTGCTCCAGCCCTGCACTTGCTCAGAAAGGGGAGCGCTCCGGCCAGTGGCAGTGCAGACTCAGCTTATGGGTTTTAATAGCACATCACCAAGCCTGAGGTGAGGCCAGGCCTGCGACAGACCGCACTTCAGTGGGACATATCGTGGCGTAGGTGCCGTGGCTCCTACTTAATACACCACCTCTCAACCTGTCAGGAGGTTCTCCATGTGCACACTGGAAATTAGCCAGGGGAATTTATTCATCCCCTGGGAAATGGTGGTTCACTTCTCCCGGCCTCCTGTTTTCTCAAGATCAGCACAGGAGGGAGGGGAAGAGAGGCACTGCCTTTCTTTCAAGTGAAGTGAAGACCCTCACCTCCCTCTCTTTCATCTCTGTCACGTTTTGAAGGCCGCAAAGATTTAAGAAAGAAATAAACCTTCCTCTTTGGCTCCCGCATCTTCTGCAAATGCCTCAGGGGACTAAACTATGGGCAGTTAAGCTGCTTCAAATTGTACAGCCACTGAATTCCTGAGGCCAGCCTGCAGGCCACCTTTCTCTGATCAATTCTGTAGCGGACCCTTATTTTTTGACAGGCTGCAGTTGTCATGATTTTTGCTTGGGGAGTCTTGCAGATGCAGGATTTCTTCACGAGGCTCTAGGAGTAGGGATGACGGAGGGTGAAGCCCAGACAATTCCCTATACAGTGAACAGTGGGGACGGCGATGAATACTCACAAGCAAGGAAAGACACGTACCGCTGTCTTCTGGGAGGACAGGTTCTTGAGCATACTGTTCTCTGCAGGCAGCTCTCAGTGCACAGGAGAAAGACTGTGTTGGGCAATGAACCAGTTAAAGACTGTCCCAACCAGACCACTGTCACAGCTTGTTTACTTGGTGTAGGAGCTCCTGAAATCTCAAGGTATTGCCTGCTTTTGGTGGTTAATGGGCAGCAGACAAGGAACATGCCCCTCTATGTAGCGCTGCTCCTTTAAGATCAGTTGAGCTTTTTTTTTTGTACGCAAGTTAATCAAGATCCTGCCTTATTCAATGGTTGGAGAATGGGGGGCCTTCTTCCATCATGCTAATAACAGTCTCCCGAGAACTCAGTGAGCAGGACAGCTGGTGGTGGTGGTGTTGGCTAGCTATACTGGCCACAAAGCTGGGATAGTTGAGTTCCCCAGAGCCACCTCCCAGAGAGCAGCAAACACTGGCGCTCCATGGAGAAGCACAGCCATGCCAGGCCTCAGATTTTAAGTGGCTCTCCTTGCAAGTGCAGTTAGCATTCTAGAATGCTAACTGGTGCCACCAGTGAGCCACTGCGTGCCAAGACTGTTCCTTGGCTCTCCTGTGACTTGGACACGGAGAACACACCACGTACCTGACTCCTCCTCCAGGCACTCCTCCGTGGTCAGCGGTCTGTGACTGAGGTATCAGGTGCCTCCTGGGAGCTGCTTTCTCCCTTGCTAAAATTACATGGACAAATTTTAAACACGAAATGAGACCTTCTAAAGCGATTTACATCATTTGAATCTGTCTTTGGCTCTAAGAGAGCGATTAAGTAGCAACACTCATCTGTAGTACCTGGCTGATAGACCTTGGAGGATAGGTGGTTTCTGAATTCAGGAGCAAAACCCAGCAACACCTAAGCTTCCAGTAGTAGCTGATATAAGCAAAAATGGTACTCACGTGGCTAGGGAAGTACTATTTTTAAAGAGTAATAAAACCACAGAAGAAATACCCAATGCAAGGCTAAGCTAGCCCACCTGCTATATCACATTATTGGGAAGACTGGTCCGGGCCCTTCAGGCACTTGATGTGCCAGCTGAGGCAAACTCCTTTCTGTCTCTGTGCTTTCTTTTTCTCACTTCAGTTAATAGTTATGAATATAATAGAAAGTGCAAATCAACTACCATATTGATATTATTCCTCCAAATTAACACAGTGAAATGTCAGGGAAAGAGGACAAAATTAAGACATAAGAAAAGCATTTAACCCTAGCCAGTTTGGCTCAGTGGACAGAGTGCTGGCCTACAGACTGAAGGATCCAGGTTTGATTCCGATCAAGGGCACGTACTTTGGTTACAGGTTTGGTTGCTTGCAGGATGTCTCTCTGTCACACACTGATGTTTCTCTGTCTCTCCTCTCTCCTTTCCACTGTCTAAAAATCAATGGAAAAAATATCCTTTGGTGAGGATTAACAACAACAAGAAAAGCATATAGCTGTGTGTTTAAGTTCTATTTTTTTTTTTTTTGCCAGTATAAAACATGAAATCTAGTAAGATAATTGAGGTCCATTCGATCTTCATAATTAAGCTTGCTTTGGAAGTAACCTGTAGAACAAAAGATACGACCACCTCTTGAGGCTCAAGCTGGTTATTTTGAAGTAACCGCCTCCTTGCTGGAGTGGGTGGAAGGCTTTAGCTGAGCAGAAGCTGTATTATGGGTGACGGTGCATCCAGCACCCCCTCTCTTCCAACCCTTCCCACATGCTACTACTGACATCTTGGTTCTAACTGTGGAAATAATGACCATACCTCTTGAGCCAGCAGGATCTGGAAGGACTGAGGAGGCTCATTTTTAAACATTGCACTTTAAAAATTGGAACCCATGAGATGAAGAAAAATTCAATTAAGCGGAAATGAGTTCTGTTTTATTGCCTGCTGCTGAAGGGCTCTGGGCACGCTGAAAGCGAAATAAAAAGCACATCACTGGCTCTCTCTTTCTTGGATTGGTCAATTGGCCCCCTTTGCAGTAGTTGCTCCAACTGTCTCCCACAGTGACAGGAGCCAAAAAAGAGAGAGTTCAGCAAAGTCATCCCACCCTCCCTCTGCTTGGTAGGCCCACGAAAGCACAGTTTCATGCTGCTAGCTCTGGGGAGGAGACAGCTGCAGGTCTGGAGGTGTGCCAAGCGTTCCTTTGCTTAGGGAGGCAGAGCTCAGGTGGACAGAGAAGGACACCCCACTCTCATCTGCTGCCCACCTAGAGACAAAATCATTTGTACTCCCTCACTTGAGGACTGTGTGCAGCCAAATGGGCAGGTTCGGGGCTGCAGGATCCCAGATGCTGCTCTGAACTTGCATTCAGACCTCAAAGCACCTGCGCCCCTAAGCTCTGGATTGTTGCCCTCACCCTTCCCAGTGTAAATTTTGTACAGTGAAAAGAAATGAAGTCTCATTTGCTGGAAAAAAAGGAAAAAAAGGAAAAAAAAAGTACCTACCCATCCTTATTTATTGCCATGTGACTTTGGAACAGAAGCTGGTGCGTTTGTTTGTATATGCCTCCTGTGTGTTGGCATGAGATGTGTATGGTAAAACTATGTTAAATAAATATGGATGTTCTTTAGAAGCTGGTGTGTCTTGCTTTTCATTTAGTTTACTGCAAGTTTTTTCTCTTGATCTAAATCAAATGCAAAGCTGTGCTGACATGGGACCCTTTCATCACTAGAAGAAAACCCGAAGTACAACCCCAAATGCCAGAACTACTTACAACCATAAATACCAGAACTGCTCAGTGAAGGGTTGGTCAGAGTTCTCTGATTTCTCTCACAGCAATGTTCTAGGGCCCAATCCTCTGCTCCTGGACTTAGGGAATGGGCAGAGAAACCCACTGACTACATGTTTTTAGTTAGTTTGTCCTTCACACTTCACACATTTTATCCCTTGAGAAATGTGCAATTGTCTACATTTGGGTGAGAGGTGGACCGAGGGTTAGAAACACCTTATCAGAGTCATCAGGGCTCTTAGACAAGCTTTTCTAGGAAAGTCTGCATTCAGACTTTCTCCAGAGGAGGCTTTGTTCATGTGCAGGACCTGAAGTACAGTGAGGATGGAAAGAGCAACAGAGGT